CCATAACGCTGAGACTCTCAGTTGCCGACCATCCCGTCGTGTTTCGGTGACTTCCTGAAGCATCCGTTTTGCCCGACTGCCCGCTAACCGTAGCAGGACCTGGGTTTTGTCATCGTTGATGTTCAAGCCGGCTTGGGCCAGGACCTCCAGCAACTTCCCCACTCGCTCAATGGCCTCCCGAAAACCTTGGGGCGACGTAAACTCTTGGTGAATCAGAGTGTCATCTGCAAAGTAATCCAAGATCTGGTCCGCCTCGTCTCCGAAGGCGCTTCGAAGCTGGGAATGTAGCCGTGCCACGACCATGATATATAGCAATGGGGAGAGGACACATCCTTGTCGTACTCCTCGGCCTACGTCCACTGTTAGGTTGCCACCCTCTCCTTTCAGATGATACTGCGCGCCTGTGATCCATAGAAGAACTAGCTGTCGAAGCTCTGGAGGTATCTGTGCTGCCTGCATAGCCAGGTTTATTTCAGCATGGGGAACCGAGTCGAACGCTTTGGCTATGTCTAAGGCTACTGCCAGTCCGCCCACCAGCTCCTGTCGTTGATGCCCCGCTCGTTTGTGATTTATGTTCTGGGTCTGTGACTGACATAAGGCTCGAACTGCAGAGCAATGCCCAAAAGCACGAGCCATAGCATCTGAAGCCTCGCGGCCGCGCAGATAACCCCACTGCGGTGTATAAGCCATGTACTCGGTTGCCCAGGGCTGGACTTTCTCACGCAAAGCTCGTAGCAGTGCCTTCCCCACGGGATGGGAGAGACCGATTGGTCTCATATCAGCAGGGCCTCGACAAACCTTGCCAGGTTTGGTCAACATGACCAGCCAAGCATCCTTGAAAGGTTGTGGGATATAGGGCACACGACCGTTCCACCACGAGGCCAGGAATTCCGCATAGATGGGTGCCAGCCATGCTGACGCGTGTTTGTACATGGAATTCAAGGCCAAGTGTTTGGGCCCTGCCTTGTTCACGGGGATGGCCTGAAGACCGTCATATATATCCTGAGTAGTCAGAATCTGCCCTACACCCGGTAGCAACATGAGAGGATCGACACAAGGTTCGCCCACATACAAGCACCGGAGGTAGCTAGCTGTCTTCGTGGCCTCCTGTCTAGCATCCAGCAGGACGCCCGCATCATCTCGCATCTGCGGCCTAGCCTGAGTGCGCTTCGGCGCCAATCGATCAACTAGCCGATAAATGCCATGGATATTCCGCTTCCGTTCTTGATATTGGGCATCGTTGAGGATGCTCAGGAGCCGCTGGCGTCTAAGTCGCCGACATGGAGTCCTTGTCGATTTGATGAGCTTACTGAACTGCTGCATGTGTCTCCACGCCTGAAAAACATCGCGAAGTCCGCAGCTGCGTCGTGCCCTGGCTTGCCGTAGATGTGCCCAGGCCTGCTTGAGGACTGTGCGCAGATCGAGGTTTTGCCATGGCCGTTGGTGTTGTACTGGCACATGCTGGACCTGCGTAGCAATTTGATTTTGGACCTCAATGATGGCTTGGTCCACTGCTTCTACACTGTCAAAGGGGGACACGAGGGCTTGCTGCAGGTAATGTTCGACATGAGCCACGTGATCTTTGATATGACGTTGTAGTTCAGGCCTGCTGGGACCGCGTGGTTGGCGAGGTGCACTGTCGTAGCGCCAAATGCGCCATCTCCTGGGGACATGCGCCAGCAAAGGAACATGATAGCCCTCACCGCGGGCTGCCAACAACGGGAATTTGTGAAGTCCATGCGCGCGCTTGCTGAGGCCCTGGGCCTGGTTTGAGCGCATGAAGAGGTAGTCGATCTGGGAGCGGGAGCCTGAGCCACAATAAGTGTACTGTTTGGCATCGTGAAAGGTGTTGGCTGCAATCAGTCCATGTAATCGGAGAATGTCAAGGAGTTCATGTTCATCTCTCTTGTCTCGATAAGTTGTGTTGCTGACTGCTGTGCCGGTCACCCCTTTGCAATGCGGCAACTGTGTGTTGAAATCACCGCAAACCAACACTTGGTTTCGCGCTGGGATCCCGTCCAAGCACGCGTTGAGCGCGTTCCAGACTGTCTTTCGCTGAGCTGTTACGTCTGCCACGGCTCCATGTGACCAGACCCGCTGATAAATGTTTATGATGTCAATACCGCCGTCCGGGTCGTAGATCCGGGTGTGTTGGATCCTGCCATTTGCCATGGTACCGGACCGAATTTGTCCCTTGTGAGCCAGCCCATTGTGGATCAGCGTCATAAGTCCACCTGAGCGGCCTTGGCCGTGATGGATGACGTGATAATGTCCATTGTTCCAGAATTGCTCCATGTTCCATCTCGTTTCCTGTATACAACAAAGCTGCACTGCATGATCAGCTAACCAGTTCTGCAGGATGTCCCAGTTGTTAGCTGCTAGGCCGCCTGAGTTCCAGGAAAGAAGCTTGCAATGCCTAGTGCCGCTAGGGTTGCGTGCTCCTTGACTATGCTTGGGAGGTTCCGGCACCTCAGTTGAGGGAACGTACTGTCCACAAAGGGCGGCTGCTGAGAGCCATCGGCCTTTGTACCAAGTGTGTCCTGTCTGTGATGACACGGCTCTTTTGCATGCTCGTTTGTAGGCACGCTTGACCGTATATGAATGTCCTTGGGCCACTGGCTTCACCCTCGGAAGCTCGGAAAAATCACTGTGATGGTTTCGGGCGGGCTGTGGTTCCCGCCTACCCTCGCCTCTGCGCTCAGGAAAGATGTCGTCGTCGTAAGGATGGTCCTGTTGCGCCGCCGGACTTGGGACCGGCCCTGGCTGGCGTATTGTCGTCTGTAAAAGAGCTGCTCGAAAACCGGAATAAGAATCATCATGAAAAGAAGCATGAAAATCGCAACCATGCCCATGCCAAAATCCATGCAGTTCATCATGTGAGTCAAGGTGTTGCTGTTCATCGAATAAGCCCCAAAAATGACTGTATTCACTATGCGCTCCGGCAAGTGCAGTATCAGGCTCAGCTCGCTGCTGAGCGAGGCCAGCATTCTCGGGCCAAGTCGGCCCTGTGTTCCACTTGATCTGCTGACTCTCATGCATCTGTCGGGTGCGGCAGAGTGTCTTACACCATATGGAGTCTGGGACTGCGCAGTCGTTCCAGCCAATCAAAAGCGCCTTGAAAACGCAATGAAAAACTGTGCTCACCATGCGCCGCCCCGAGCCCCCTACAGACTTCAAACTCATTTCGAGCCAGAGAGGCTTCCCCCCTTGGTGTGGGTGGGCGGGACAAAATTTTCCCAGTGGCCCGAAATGCCACTTGATCTGCCAAACCGCCGGTGCATAGAAACATTCATAACTTCAACATGCATAAAGAACACTGTATGCAAGCGTTGAAGGTTGGGAAAATCATTCGTGTGATAAAAGCATGCTTTCACACAGAAATTAAAAGTTTGAAATCATGCAATCAATCGGTTCGCGGTTGTCGCCATTTTGAGGGTTAAGGATTACCCTCAAATAAAACAACCTTGTAGTTTAAGTGGAAAGAGTCATCCGCAAGCGGAAACGTGTCTTCCACAAAACTCCAGAATTTCCGGTGGTCTGGGGGCTGAGCGACTTCGAGAAGACCGCTCAGCTGCTGTCCGAGGTCCTCGCGGGTCGGGTGAAACATCCCGCAACATGCTGAGTCATCTAGGAGAGTGCGAAGCTGTGCAGCACAAGTCCCGAGCGATGATCATCAGCGACACTATTAACAAAAGACGAGGCAACATTAAGAGAGCCTTCGCCACACGTTGAATGGGAGGGAAGTCAGGAAGCCGCAGTCCGTCTGACATGTACCTCCTCTTGTGAAAAGCATCGAATTGGATGTATCAGATTAGCTACGCAATCACATCCGGAAACATTCCGAGCAGCAACTAACGGTTCGGAAAGAAGCTCGAAACAACATGGCCTGAGCAGCAAAGCTACGGATCAGGTCAAAAGCTCGGAGCAGCAGAGCTACAAATCCGAGAAGAACTCAAAACTACACGGGAGGCTCTCACGTCACTTCAGAAGGCGTCGTCGGTGGAGCTCAGAGGACCTCGCTTCCGCAGCCCACAGCAGCCGCCCTTGTAGTAGACGACGAAGAGGAGGAAGGGTGAGCCAGCAGCCCAAACCAGCAGCAGCATCGCCAGACCAGAAAGGAGCACACCCAGTCCACACAGGTACCCCTAGGGAGGGGACAGGGCCTAAACCCGAAAAGCCCAAAGGGAACAGGGGCCGTCAAGAAAGGATGCCACGTGAAATTCAAGAAAGCGTGAGGCATCACGCGCACACGAAAGGTATAAAATGCGAAAACACCCGGGCCGGCATCAGCAGCCCTAGTAGAGCATAAACGCATTCGGCGAGAGGCCAAAGCGCACCTCATTTGCACACAGGGCTCCTAAGGGGAGGGAAGGGCCTAAACCCGAAATAAAAAGCCCAAAAGGAGAGGATCAGCCTAAAGAAACGAGCCCACACCAGCAGCAGCAGTGCCAAGCAGGAGCCAATCAAGCAGCGCTCGGAGTGGTTCGAAGCTCGCACCCGGCAAAAGCGGATGGGCCGTAGCAAGGTCAAGCAAAGTTTGTAACAGGAAACTTCCCTACATCAGGTATTCCCGCCAGCAGCAGCACTGCCTCACAAGGAAGCATAGCCGCGCTCAGCGAAAGGCCTGAGCTCACGCAAGATGCACACGGGTACCCCTAGGGGAGAAGGGCCTAAACCCAAGAAACCCAAAGGGGGGGCGAAGGCATCGCGGAGTCACAGCAGCCTGGGAAATCGAGCTCCACGCAATAGCAGCAGCACCACGCAGCAAAGCAAGGCCGCGCTCATGCATAGAGGAGTTAACGCCAGGTGCGCACGGAAACCACTAGGGAAAGATGGGGCCTAAACCCAAGCAAACCCGAAGGGGAGCAGGCAGGGAGTGAATGTTCGTACCGCCCGGCACATGAGAGTGCAAGCTGCACACACACAAAAGACATACCAAGGGCAATCACTGAGGGGCCGAAGGTAAATTGTCAAAGAACATTCTGGTGCAGCCAAACTTGTCAAGGCTCAGCCCCTTCGGGCTCAGCATCATCAAGAGGAACACTTTTCACATGTTTATCCAGCTTCTCGGCAGCAGCTGCCGCAAGCCGGATGGTAGTCAGCTCCCAATCCCGAACCTGATCGCACTGTTGATGCCATCGCTCCCTGAGAGAGCCCGAGAGCCTGTTTTGCATGCAGTTGCCCGCCGCCTGATCTGCAGCATGGTTAAAGGCGCGGAGCACATCCGCATCGTGATCCGGCGAAGGCCTCCAGCGGGGGTGCTTATTATGTGACGGTACCCAAATCAAGGAGATAGCACAGCCGCGCCTCTCCAGCTCCTTCCAGAGACGGCGCGCGTCCCTCAGCAAGAGACCCAACGTAAAGAGATCATCACCATGGCCCGAGATGGCCGTCAGGGCAGCTTTGCAGTCGGTCAAGATAAAGATGCATGTCTCGCAGCCCTCACTCCACACCCGGTGGACCGAAGCAAAGGCCGCGTGAAGGGCCAGAACTTCCTGCCGATACGGGGATTGGTCCTCTGCCCCAGTGCCCATGGCATAGACACAAGACGGATCGCCGATCGCCACCGCATAAGCACCGACTGAACGATGGCTGGAGCCATCAGTAGCCGCATAAATCCTGCTCCGGCCCGAGCCGAGCGCAGCACGGAAAGCAGCATCTAAGTCCGCCCGAAAAGCCCCACAGTCGGAGGAGGCAGGCGCCGGAGGTTTCAAGGGAGTCGACTTTGCAAACATTCGCTCCTCCGCTCGAGTCGTCGGAGGGGGGTGGTCCCGTCGGAGCGCCTCGGTGCACTCGCAAACCCAGGTCACATGCGGTCGCGACGGAGCAGTCGCGCCGCAGAGGCACTGCATGCGCCTGTGCTGCTCATTCAAACCCTGCCCGGCCGTAAAGAACCAGCACGAGCCTCCCGTGACAGCAGCAGCCCGTCTCATATAAGGAGTGGTCGCCTCATGCATGGCAACACGGTGCCCACGAAAGCTAAAGCGCGCATCCCGCAACGGAGGCTCAAGATCCAGGCCTCGTGCAAGGCTCGGGTCCGGCCTATGAAAGCTCCGCCAGACTCGCTGGCATCTCTGCATGTAAAGGTGCCGGTAGTGGTCAAACAGCCAGCCCTTAACCTCAGCGAAGCTCTCCCATCCAACCTGCACCTCACGAGAGATCCCCAAGTCATCGCGGCTGGCGAAGAAGAAGCCGTCAGGGCGTTCAACGACGCTCCACCTCAATTTACGAAGGAGGCCAGGCACAGCAGGCAAAAGCTGATCCCAGCGCTGGCCCCGGGCATCACGCGGCTGTTCCAGAGCAAAGGCCGGAGGCTTGCAGAGGAGGCGCCAGGCCTCGCGGAGCACAGCAGAGTCAGCAGCGCACTGTGGCTCCAGCATCCACCCCACATGTTCGAAGATCAGGACACGCGGGGCTTCAAAGGAAAATTGACAGTCAAAAACTCGAATCGCAGCATCTCTAACTTGCTTCATCTCGCCTGCCAGGGGCGTAGCATAGGCAGCGGCCCACACCAAGCACGGGTAAACAAGCGATTTCAGCATGAGGGCCCGCAGTCGACTGCAAACGGTCACCCAGCGCAAAAGGTCCATGCGCAGCAAAGCTTTTCTCAAGGAAAATTTCAGCAAGCCCCATTCATCATTAAAGGAAACAGTGACACCTAAAACTTCAAGGGTTTGCGAAAACTGATAGTTGAATCGGGCAGCCAGAGCAGAGGCCTCGACATGACCCTCTGGCGCCACGATCGCACACTTTGGCAGGGAAATTTCAAGACCACAAGTGGCATCGAATCGGTCGGAGCGCCGAATCGCATGCTCCAGGTCGCCAAGATCCGCAGAGAAAGTCCAGAAGGAACGGTCGTCCAAGTAGACCAGGCCTGAAACCCCTTGCCTCAACACAGCCAAGGTCCAAAGGTGGCTAAATGCGGCAGCAAGGGTGGGACTTAAGGGACAACCCTGAGCTATACCCAAGCGGGGCTTAAACCAGGCATCACTGTATGCACCATCAAATTGGACGATGCGCGAAGCTCGCGTGTAAAAGGCCTTCAGCAGCGGCCAAAGAAAAGGCGGCGCGTTCAGATGAGAAAGGAGGACCTCTAGGGCTTCAAACTGGATGGCATCAAAGAGCCCCGCAATGTCCTGTTGTACCGCAACATTAGCACCACCGCGCATTGCAGCATTCAGCTGAAGCAGGGCACCCGACACCGACGTGCCCGGGATGCCACCGGCATCCGACGGAGACCTCCAAGAACCTATCCAGTCGGAAAGTTGGGCATTCAAAATCCTTGCTCCCGCACGCCAGACAGCTTGAGAGACGGTTAACGGCCTGAAGCCCCCCTTGATTTTCTTAATCATCACCACACGTGCCTGCGCCCACTGGGCGGGGACGTCACAACAAGCAAGGCACCGATTCCACAGCTGGGAGGTCCACTCCCACCACAGATCAGGCATGGAACAAAGCAGCCCAGGTTTCCACGCATCCGGCCCGGCAGCACGGTGCCGCATGGACTGCATTGAGCGTCGGAGAGCCTCCGGCGTGATGTTAGGCACGACCTCCGTGCTTGCGGGGCGCGGCAGGGGCCGCAACAGATCACGCATGGCCTGCATGTCAACCGCCCGAAAGGACGCGGGACAGAGCTTCGCCCGCAGGTCCTTCGCCACAGCTGCAACCGCGACCGCCGGATGTGCAGGGTCGCCCGGACTGGCAACATCCGGAAGCTGACGCTCCCAAGCAAGTTGCTCATCAGCGCGCCGCTTAACAAAAGACCGGGCACGAGGCAGGTCAGCACGCGTCCTGGTGCGCCACATCTGCTTTCTTGCCTCCTCCTCCTGCTGCGTGAAAGTCTCGATGAGCTGTGCAACATGTGGAAGAAGAGAGAGCTCATCGCCATCACGGGCATAAGGCAGGCTGGGCACCTTCAAGCGCGTGGACCGGAGTGAGCGCCTGATTCGCGCCACCAGCAAAGCATCGTTCGTCCGGTGGGAAAGAACCTGAAGCCTCGCACGGAGTCGCAGCAAAAGGCGCAGGCTCTCCGACTTCACAAGCTGCTTGCCAGTCCGCCCCGCGGCACTGTGGGCGACAGGCTCCCAGGAAGACGCACGAGGAACGCACTCTGCAGAGCACGGCTCACACAGCAGAAGCTCGGCGGTGTTCGACAAGAAGCGCCAAGCCCCGTCCAAATCATTCTGTTCCAAGGCGCTCGCAAAAGGGCCAGCATCAATTTGAGCACATCTGGACTCCAAGTCAGAAGACTGGAGATCATCACGAGGCTTACATCGCTTAGGCCCAACCAAGGGGCAAGGAGCATCGAGGGCATACGAGTAGTGTACCCCCAAGTGGTCCGAAAAATCGCACGTAAAGTGATCCACAGAAACCGCAGGCAAGTCACGATGATTAACAGCAAAATCAATGCGACGAGAGCGCACTCCTTGGGCATTGACCGGGCCCGTGGCAGGAAGGGGCCGGCCACGCGCACATTCATCACCAGCAAGCACGGTGCCTTGCGAAATTAGCGATCCTAAGCGGCCTTGGGAAGGCTCAAGGTTGTAGTCGCCCAAAACCACAAACCTATAACCCGAGGCAACCGCACACTCCAAAACCTCATCCACTTGTGTCTGGGCAACTGGCTCGTTGCCGGCCTGGCCATAAAAGGCCACCACCAGGATGGTTTCATCAGTGGCACTCCGGGAGCTCGCAGGGAGCGAAGAATCATCCTCAGGGAGGGATCGCAAATTGAAGAGTCCCGCCACGTGCCTGGTGGAAGCAGGACCCTTACACAGCTGGACATGCCGAAAAGGGAAATCGCTGACCAAAGCAACCCGGCTGCCGAGATCCTCAGGAGCGCTCAGAGCAACATGCCGGCCATGCGCTTTCCACTGGTTGCGATAGCCGATGCCAGCCGTTTCAGGAACATTGACCTCGGACAACGCCACAATCTGTGGGGGGCCTTGCCGAAGCAGAGCATCGAGCAGCCCCACCGTCGACGTGCCACGCCGGTGAACATTCAAGCACGAAAGTCGAATCACACCGACGACATGGGGGCTCGCAAGGCCTTTTCAGCAGCAGCGAAGGCGAGCTCGCCTTGCTCTTTGCGAACAGAGGCAGGAGCAGCATCATGAAGCTTCCTATTGGCAGCAAGGGAGCGCAACCGAATCCACGCCCTCGCCTTAGCAGTGCGAGAAGGGCACTGTCCCTTGACCGACCGATGTTTCCTAGCGATCTCTGCAGAGGGGCACGGCGCTCGGCATTTGCGGCACACCCAAGCCGGGCATATGCGCAAGGGATACTTATCAACAGTATTGGTGTCCTTCCCAGCCTGGCGCGGCCACCCGAAGGCATCAAAGTCCTGAGCCTCCAGCTCGCGCAGCACCGGCAGGAGCTTAGCCTTCTGTGCATTGTTGCGAGTGACACTGATCTTTGAGGCCCATTTGGTGGCCGAGTGTGATTTCGCTTCCTTGTTCCACACAGCCCAAGAGACGCGCGGGTGGGCCTGTGTTTTATGCTCCCGGCGAAAGCGCCACAGAGAGTCCTTGCCAAAGCGGGCCGCATCAGCAGTCGAGATGCCTGCCTGGCACCGTTTGCATCTCCAGTACGCCTCCTCGCCATCAGCGAGGTCACGAACACAGGAAGCCTTGCGGGCAGGAGCGAGCCCAAGCTTCTCCCCCGGATGCGAATCCAAGAAGTGCCGCTGATAGGCCGCATAAGCCTTCACAGGATCAGCACACTTGCGGCGAAAGGGACAAAGCCTGCATTTAGCAACTCCATCAGGGAAGGCTCGGCCGCGATTACGACGGGCCATCACAAGGGCAGACTGAGGCAGGGCCCGGCTGGCATGATGCAATCGCTCAGGTTGCGGGGCATCATCATCGTCCCACTCCGGCAAGGCAGGCATTTGAGAATGCACGGAAGCACCAGAGGAGACGGCTCGGGACCAGACCGTCGCAGCAGCACCGCGAGCGCGCTTAAGAGAAGAAGCGGTCTTTCTGCTCGACGCGTTGGTGGCAGTCCACACAGTGCCCGCCTTCACAGAGGATGATCGGCTGACCTTGGATCGGTTTGATCGGGCGCAAGCAGTCCAAACAGTACCAGAGCACTGGGAAGCATCATCCCCTCCAGCCCTCAGGTCAACGACAGCACCACTCGTAACGGAGAAAACCTCCTCTGGGTAGTCTTTAGCATCCTTAGCTGGCAAAAGAAGCTCGATGTGCCGAGGTGTGTACCATAACACCAGCCTCCTTTTGCGCTGCTGCGCATGAAACGACATCGCACTAAAATTCCCATCGCGTGGGATCACAAGGATGTGGCAATCAAATAAACGTCCGAGAGCCTTCAGCTCGATGGTAGAGGCGTATGCAGATTCCGAAGCAATTAACTTGAGGTATTCCTCAAAGGCGTCCTCCGGAGATGCGGCATTTTCGCGCAATTTTTGTAGAGCCGGCCCGTGGCCGTCCCATTCCCCTAAATATTGCGAAGCATATTTTCGTAAGTGCTCTACACAGCGCGCCCTCAAGTCCCTGTGGGAGTGCTCGGTTTTCTTAGGGCCCGAAAGCCAGTGGAGGCCACGCGCTATGGCGTGAAACAAACAGGCTCCGTCTTTCGGAGTCTCAATGAGATCACACCCCGAGGGGATTTGCCGATGCGAAGCCGCAACATGTTTGGCAGGGGACACCTCCTTACCGTCATCATCCAGTTCAGCGGGGACCTGAATTTTAACGGATTGGGGCTCCAATGCAGGCTTCTCCTTGGCAAGACAGGGAGTCGGCGCACATCGCAGAGGTCGCTGCTTAGCTTGCTTAGGCTTATAGGGTGCAACCGTAGCCCACAGCGTGATTTCATTGTCCTTCCCCGGCTCGCTCTCGACGATAGCACTCAAAGGAACCAGATCAAGATCGCCGTGTTTAAGCGTAGCTCTGAAGCGATACAAGTACTCAGCGCCAGTGCGCTTATGCTGAATCAAAGCCACATCCTTGAAGGATTGGTCCAGCACCTGCAGCACTTCCTTCTGTCCCCCGCTAGCCGGCACATGAGGGAAATTCCAAACACGCGGGACAGCCTGTGAGGGATCCCTGGCGATCTGGCGCCAATGCGTCCGCCCTGGGTGGCAAGGCCATAAGGAGCACTCATGCGGAGGCCGCGTTCAAGGTACGCAGTCGGAGCTTCCCCCTTGGTAACAGCAAGCCACTGCACAGTGGAGACAAGCTTGCCGCGCGGCACATCAACAAAAACTCCATCCCGGCCACTGACAGCAACGAGAGAAGACAACTCGGAGTCCAGGAGGCGAGCAATGCCAAACAACTGCAGTCCTTGCTTGCCAGCCTGCTGCTCCTCGACCCAACCCCACGTGTCACTCAAAGTGATTTGGTGAGAGCTTGCCCAAGAAGAAGCAGCACGACTCGGGTTGTTCTTCCAATGCTTGAATTTATCAGGCGTCATGTACATCTCAGGCACCTTAAAGTAGACGACCGAAGTGGACGCAGGAACAACTTTAATGGCCTTGGCCTTGTGCCCCGCAAAGCAAGGGACACCACCATCAGCAGTGGCAACTTGCGCGGGTCCCGGGTGGGTCCGGTAATTAAGCCCCGGACCCCGGGAATAAGCACATTTCGGTTCCCGAGGGTGGGTTGTATGCACATGACCGTACAAAGCACACTGCCGTCATTGCGACCGAAAAAGACCCACAAAACTGCTTCCAAACGAGCTGCGAGTGGTGGCTGGTGCTGCCCTTGCCACCACGAAAGAAACGTTTGATTTCAATTTTCTTGCCTCGTGGGGTCCATCTACATTTTCCGCCTTAGGTTGTGGTTTATGCCGTTGCCCACGCACGACAAAGGTGTCTGATGTTTTGCTCTCGGTTCTATCCAGTTCAAGCCTCAGGCAAGGCTTAGTTTAGGGTTTAAAGCTTTAGGGCCCTCCCAAACTAAACTTAACCCTAGGAGCCTGGGCCCTAGACAGTGTAAGCCGAACCCTTAAGCCTCAAGCCTGCTCAAACCTTAAAAGTTTTTGTCGGCCGTCTTTTTTCCCCAGCGCCATGAGCCTCAAGTTTAAAGGTTTGGAGATTCATGGCCTTAGGGCTCAGGCCTAAGGCTTAGGGGGTGAGGGGTCACGGTCGGAATCTCAAACCTTGCGTAGGCGTAGACGTATTCAGGATGCAGGATCCATTCTGCAGCTTGTGAAGCTTTCAAACTGAGATTTCGCAACTTAAGGGCGCTTAGGGCCAAGTTTGCGCCTCCAGTGGGTTAGTGGCAAGTGTGTAGAGACTAGGTGACTAGGTGGATATAGTATAGAGGTATGCGGTTATGTCGGTTATTCGGATTCTGGGTTCTAAACCAGTGCCAGTCAGTAGGCTCAAGGCAGCCATGGGGCAACCACAACCCTGGAAGGGGCAGGCAGGTCGGGTCAGGACAAAACCGAAAAAACAACAAGAACAGCTAAAACTCGTGCCTAGCAAGCTGATTGACCCGACATACATCGCAAATCGTTTATGTTGCAAGCCTGTCCTTAATTACCGGGGTCCGGCCTTAATGACCGGACCCCGGCCTTAATTACCGACCCCCCCTCGGTAATTAAGGTTTTGGACCGGCCTTAATTACCGGACCCCGGCCTTAATTACCGACCCCCCCTCGGTAATTAAGGTTATTGAAGCATGTTTTGGTGCATTTTCGAGCGCTGACCCCGTCAAAATGAGGGGGTCAGCGCTCGAAAGTGCACCAAAACATGCTTCAATAACCTTAATTACCGAGGGGGGGTCGGTAATTAAGCCCGGACCCCGGTAATTAAGGCCGGTCCAAAACCTTAATTACCGAGGGGGGGTCGGTAATTAAGGCCGGGGTCCGGTAATTAAGGCCGGACCCCGGTAATTTAGTACAAGACCCCGATAATTAAGGATGGACCTCGGGAATTAGACCGGATCCAGGCGCAGGGCTTAATTACCGGACCCCTCTCGGTAATTAAGGTTTTGTGCGGCCGAAGGCAGGGTTTCGAGTTTAGAGTTGAGGGATCAGTTTAGGGTATGGGGTTTAGGTTTAGGGATCACGGTTTAGGGTTTGGGGATCAGGGTTTAGGGCAATTTAGGGTTCAGGGTATGAGGTTTGTAGGGCTTAGGAATCAGGGCTGATCAGGGTCCAGTTTTTCGTGAAATAAGGGCGATTAGAGCTAGGGTTTTTAAGCTTCGAGTTTAGGGTTTGGCTCCATTGCAGCAGAAACGGGAACAGGTAACAGGTACAAGTGGTAACAAACCACCCGCAATTCTAATTTAAACTCATAAGCCCTTGGCCCTTGACGAATCCATAAACCTCAACTGCCTCAACTGTTGATTTCCTCAAAAAGGAGCCTGCTGTTACTGCTGTTGGGGATTAGGGGTGTTTTTTGAGTGTTGGCACGGAAAGGCACGCGATAGCGCGAATTCGTTGTCGAAACATCTGTCTGTGCGACGACTACAATTTGTTGATGATTCCTGATGATGCAATGATGCGCTGATAACATGGAACAAGCCAACGGACAACACATCACGGGCCAATGCGGCTCAAAACTTGAATTTCCGCCTGCAGTTCAAATTTTGACGCAAACGTTAGGGTGGGCATGAAAATGGTCCAGTCCCTAGTCCTGTTTGAATGCAATCCGTCGTCATAGTCCTCATCCTGTCCATCACATATCAAGGCCGTTTGAAAAACACACGCGCAATTTTGCTGCGTTCAACACCATGCCCCTCTGGACCGGAACATCACTGAAAACCCACGTGCAGCACGAGCCCGGGGCTTAATCACCGACCCCCCCGGGACCCGTGCAAGTTGCCAATCAGCAGGGTCAGATTTGCAATGTGCAATCGAGGCTCGTCGAAAACGTAGGAGATCCCCCACACTTCCCGGGACCTTGTGAGGACCATTCGCGTCCAAGGTAACAAGGGTGATTTTATGGGATTTGCTGGTGCCTGCAAGCATGGTGCGAATTCTCGGCAGCGCCGAGGGCTCGACAAGAATGACAGCTTCCAGAGTAGAACCCGGTTTAAGTTCGTCCAATGCTTTGGCAATGCCATCCTGCGACAACAACTGCGCGCTCCAATCCTGCCTTCGGAGCTGGAAGGGGCCCTGCGGGGGAGCACGCTGAACCTTGGTCCAGCCCTCAGCATCACGAGGAGGCCGGTCGCCCTGCCCTTTGCCCTTAGGTCCAGACTTGGGTGGGGACGCCTCTGCACTGCCTTTAGCAGCACCCTTGGCCGAGCCCTTTGCAGCACCAGGCTGACCACCTCTGCCACCAGCTGCTTTGCCCTCGCCCGGCTCACGAGACGAAGGATGGCGGCTCGACTCATGGTTTTTTCGCTTGTTGCTGGGGTTAGGGTCAGGCTTATGGCGTTTGGGCCCTCGCTCCAGGTCCGGTTCCTGCAGCACAACACGGGGAGGGGTTGCCGGGGCACCTCCCATTGCATTTGCAATGGCTTCCTGCACAGCTTTCTGAATGAGCGCAGTGATCATGGGCATAAGCTGTTCCGTGATGCTGGTCATCATGCCCTCAAACGGGTTGCCGCCTCCAAACCTTAGGCCAGTGGGGCCCGAGCAGCCCTCAGGCAGGCAGGAGCGCGAGGCAGCAGCAGAGTCCTGGTCCTTTGTCACAAGAGTGCTTGCACAGGCAGAGGCAATCACGTCACTGGTATCCTGACTCAAGATCCCTTGCACTTGCACGTCACCACCCAGCCTCGAAGGGACAGGTGCACTCACAGATTGTGCCTCACACACAAAGTTTGGCATCAGGTTGCTAGGGGTCAAGTGGGATATACTCGGACCTTGCGGTCGGCCTGAACCCAAAGACCCTTGCAATTGCGCTCGGCCAGAAACCCTGGAGAGAGGCTGCCCGCCAGCAGGTCGCAGTCCACAATTGCAGTTGTGCATCAAGCCAGCAGAGCATACCTCGCACACACATGTTGGAAGCAGGCTGCTCGGGGCCAAATGGGATATACTCGGACCTTTCGGCCTACCTTGACTCACTGACCCCGGCAACTGCACACAGACAGGAGGGCTTCTTGGATCATACATGCCAGCATGGCACACGTGACACAGGCAGCACGGCATCAACCTACCGGGGGCCACGCGGGATATACTCGGACCTTTCGGCCTGTCTTGACCCAGTGGCCCCTGCAGTTGCACACCGTCAAGATCGCTCTGAGTTTGCAGCGGTCCCGCTCTGCGCGTCGCAGGCACCTGGGCGCAGGCGCCATCAGAAAGACTCCCCACAGCCCGCATGAAACAAGCTTTGCTGGTGCAATTCGGACAATGGTCCATGGCAGCATGAGATGTATCAAGAAAAACCCGATCAGAGCCCTGCAAGTCAGCAACCAGTGGAACCTGACACATGCAAGAGGAGACGACATCGAGCCTGGCAGGGTCCCGGCCACACACATCAGAAGCTACATGCTGACTCTGAGGCAAGCCCACACATGTCGGCACAGCATCTCTCCCTGTCAAGGGCTTGCAAGTGCACTCGGAAACTCAAACCGAAAGGGTGAAGGGAAACCCTGATGAAGGCATTCAGCACCACACTCAGCACGGTCCTGGGACTGCTCGACGAGACCACGGTCCCCTCGACCCTCTGATATGCACGCCGACGGCGGCCTGTATTGGGAAGGCCCCCGGAGCCCTGGGTCAGCGACCCCACCTCCTCCTGGCAAAAACTCCAAACCCGGATTACACCCACCGCCTGGGCTCCGGGGGCACGCTCTATTAGGCATCACAAGATCATCCCGATCAGCTGTTGTAGCAGTCTGGGCGTCAGGTACCCAAGGGGGCATTGGCCTAAACCCTAGGGGAGAAAGTGAGCCATGGTCAGTGCAGCAATGGGGCAGCGCATCGCCCCCAAAAGAAGACACGGGTACCCCTATGGGGGAGGACCTAAACCCTAGGGGGGCAGAGGAATCCCGGCAAGGGCAGCAGCCCCGGCAAGAAACGTCGTCGGCACCAGCGTCCTTGCCCTGCGCGATGAAGAACTGGCCGCCACCGTCACCAGCCGCCAGCGAGCCCAGGCCATGGCAGCAGCACTGCGAGGAGGAAGACCAGGGGGGCTCCGGGGAGCCATGTCTACCACTAGCACAAGTAGCTGGCACCAGAGGCCCGGTCTCAGTCTCAATCTTTGCCCTTTTGCGGGTCTTGATAGCGCTGAGCTCCCACAGAACACTAAGAACACGGCCATAAAGGCTCTTCGTCCTACAGTCAGGCTCGCATTCACCATCACAATGGGCACTAGTTAGGCCTCTCAGGCTCTTTGCCCTTTCGCGGGTCTTGTTGATTTCTTGACACTCACAATCATCACTAGCTAGGCCTCGCAGGCTCTTTGCCCTTTCACGGGTCTTGTTGATTTCTTGGATGTCACACACAGGGTTCTCAGCAGCGCAAGTCGACGTCCCACATGGCCCAGCACCAAGGTCCAGACCAGATGCTGAGGGAAGAAGCTGCTGCTGCGGCGCGTAGTAAAGAAATTCCTCAGAGAAAGTGTCCTCAATCAAGTGGAGCCCAAATGCTGCACTTGCCTGCGGCACGTAGTAAAGAAACTCCTCAGAGAAAGTGTCCTCAATCATGTGAAGCCCAAATGTTGCACTTGCCTGCGTGTCAGAAGCATGCACACAAAGCTCACTCGCCAAAGGGAGCCCCTGAGCAGGGCATTCATCCCCAGCAATAGCAAGGGCATCCTCTCGACAAACACCCATCGAGAGCTGCACCTGAGAATCATCCTCGGCAGATGCAAGAGCGATCCCCGACTGCCAAGGATCTGCCACGGCAGCAGAGTTGCTGCCCCCACTGGTGCCATCTGAGCTGGCCCCCACTGAAGCCCCTGACCACAAGCCAAAGGCCCCTACTGCACTCCACACCATAGTTCTCGGCACACCACGTTGAGCCAAGAAATCAAAATCCTTCTGGAACAGCTGAGGCTGAAAATCACGTGCTCGAACAATGAAAGCGCTCAGCATTTGCAGGCGCTGAGCCACCCACGGTTGCGCATCTCGGTCATTGCCAGACGCTTTGCCCCAGCTGCCGAAGCAGCTCTTTTCTTTCCCATTCACTTCTTTTCCCAACAAAGAAGCACCATCACTCAAAGCACAATTCATTCGCTTCAAAGATCGCCGTAAGTGTAGGTAGCACCCACAATCAAGGCCTCCAGAAGAAGGAGCCATGGCCCGAAGGCACGTGTGGGAAGTGTCAGCCCTGCACTCGGGAAAGTACAGGTTAACCAGCTCAAGGCACGCGGAGCCCCTCCCCACTTGAGCCCAAAACTCCAGAACCGGATATTGCACAATGATTCAAGGGTCAGTTTACGGGCTCGATATGCAAAATGCCCGAGAATATGATATGTATTGGAGCCAGCTATAAAAATCGCTCCCGAATATATTCTCGTGACTGCTGACGTGGCACTCTTTTGTTCCAGCACTCGAAACGGGCTGTTCGAAAGAAAGTTCGAGCACACGACGTGTTAAGCACGACCCGAGTGGTTGTGTTTCCACGAGTGCAGATTGCGGTAAAGAGATTCCGCTGCGTGCTAAGCACCCGATTGCCCCCATAACAAGTGCTGCCACGGAATGTTCTTCGGGAACACCTCTGCACACGCAATGCCCAGAGCCCTGGCCACCTCATCACCTTTCCCCCTTGAGGGTCCGTCAGCAATGTTTGATTTTGACGGTACTCGAGTGTACCACGCATAAGAGACTCTGTTGTCCTCCAAGCGGCACAGCTCGCGCAACATGCGATCCATGATCATCGACTTGCTCACGCCTTTCACAAGGGCCAAGCGAGCAGGCTCGTTGTCTATCCAATAGACAACTCTCCTGCCCTCCAAGCGCTCCCTGCACACAAGCTTTGCACAGAAAATTGCATACAACTCGACTTGGCAGATCAAGTGCTCGTTTGCCTCGTTTCGCCATGCGTCCTTGAGCTCAGGCGGGAGCTCACCTTGCAACACCCGCGTGAAGCCGTCGGCCGAGTCGATCAACACGGCTCCTATGCCAGCAAAATCACCTTCGAGAGATCCGTCAGTGAAGACGTGTACCACCTCCTTACGATCAGAAAGTGCCACCTCCCGTGGACGAGCACTGCCAAGAAACTCCAAAGCCCGATCGCAAAGCTTCGCGAACTCCTCAGGAGATGGAAAAGCTTCAGCGTGAACTATCCTATTCAAGTCAGCGCAAATGTGATTTAGCGACATGCCCACACAGGAGCCTGCTGCAAAACGCAGCAGCCCCAGCAACACTTGGCCAAAATGCTTTGTCATCGACCCCTCGGCTTTGACCTTGCCAAACATCTCCACCAGCCGCTCGATCCTTCCCGGCTTGTTGGAGATCGAGAGCTTTCCAAGGTGGAGCCGTTCCACACACATTTTGAGTCCTAGGACACTGCAAGAAGCATCGAAAGGTAAGCCTTTGGAACCTGCCCCTGTCTCGGCATATCGAATGCCAAGCAGACTCAGCATGCGGCCGCACGCCTCGTCGGTAGCCTCAGCCATGTCCTCGCGAGCCAGCATCGGGTAGTCATCATAGAAGTACGAGCACACCACGTTCAAGACTTTCGTGAACAAGAAGTGGATGGCACGGCTTATACGGTTAAAGCTAAAAACGCTGGCAGCGGCGCCAAACATTAAGGCGTTCGCCACATACCAGGTGGGCTTCCCCTTTTCGTCGAAAATGACTATAACCGAAAGGCACCTATCCCGCTCGCTTACACAAAATTGTTTATAGGCTTTTGACAAGTCCAGGCATTTGACCTTCCAAGGGACGTGCACTCCCAAATCTCTTTGCATCCTTGCAACAGCCAGTGCCATGGCTGTGAAATAAGCGCTGTCTTGGAGCCTCAAACGGATGGCCGTCCCGTAAGCATCGTTAAGATGAGCTTCATGGCCGTCATCTATGGGACGCTTCTTGTCAGATTGCTGAATGAGGAACCTTCTCACGGCCACCCAATCCTGGGTCCCAAGGTGGCGGGAAACCGCTTCCTCGGACTCGAAAGGTCCCGAGAGGAAACCCTCCGCCGTCTCCTCATCAGTGATCTTCCGCAGCTCCTGCGCCTCTTCCATCGAGACTCTCCTGGGATTCGCAAGGATCGCACGCCTCAAGTCTGGGGCTGCTGCCCTCAGGGCCTCGGGCGAGAGCTTTGCAAGTCTGATGCGGGTCTCGAAGCAGTCAGGCTTCGGAGCGGACCCCACCAGGTGTGAGCCGTCGCTCACTAGGTCCACGACTCCCATGTCGTCGAAACCATGCTGTGACAAGAGATCACGCAGCAAGAGAATGCGCTTTCCCCGAAGGACTTTTTGCATCCAAGGCGGCTTTGACTCATGCAGAGCCTTTTCCTGCGGTTCAAGCTGCTTGGCCCGTATCTCCATCTTTGTCAAGGCAATCTTTTGCTTAAGCTTAAGCACCTTAGCCTCCGAAGTGAGATTTTCCTTTATGGCCGTCAAGGTGGCCTCATGCAAAGGATTGTTTGAATCCATAGGATGCGGCAGCTTAAGGGCCTCTTTTACCCACACTTCGGGACTACGATAAACCCCAACTGTAACCAGACCTGACCCTACTCCAAGCTCGTTTCCCGCGGGCGGCTTTGGGTCACGCAAGGGGTGAGGGACTAAACCAGAAGAGCCAAGTGAGGGGTCAGGGTCACCCGTACTAGGCTTCGAGTGCGCAGCATCGCCCAAAGGCACCAGATCAGAGGGTTTCGCCAGGTCCCCCGTCTTCACCCCAATCATTGGGGCCGAGAGAACCCTCATGCACGACTCATCAAAGCTTGACTTGGGCACTTGCCGGATGGTCGCAAACTCCGAAAGGAGAGGCTGGCTCTTCCTATGCTGCAGGCCCTGCGCCGCCAAGGCAGCGTGTTGCACGTCCAGCGGGCGTGGGCAGAGACGGAGGCCGGAGGCCTCGGCATGGGCGCCGAATCGAGCGGCCAAGGCTTGCGAAAGCTGCACGGGATAGGCAGCTTCGAGATGAGTGGCGAAGATCCAGCCATGCGGCCCACGCTGAGCCCCCCAGGGGGCGTGATCATGTGAGTGATCGCAACGGGCACACAAGTCTGCCATTTGCTTGCAATTCGTGAGCAAACGTGTGGTCTTGGGCCTAGAGCCGCCATACATGCAATGATCGAACTCCACCTGAAAAGTTCTGTGGCTGAAGCGGTGCCAAGACGACTTAGGACGGGCGCGCGCCAGAGCAGCAAAAACCGCCCAGAAATGGCTGTTAGCAGGATTCTCAAGTGTGAAGGGCACCGCGTGTTCGAGCGCCCAGCAGACCAGGTTGAAGGTGAAGAGGTACAGGCAGTTTGCCTGCTGCACTCGTCGGTATTGCGGGGATGCCTTGTCAAGGCCAGGCAGCCCCAAGGGGTGACGTGAGGATCGCAAAGGTTTAGGCTCTCGAACTCCTTTTTTAAGCAGCGAGGCGGGAAGAGGGCGTTCCCGGGCGCGGCTTGCGGTGCCGCACGGCGGTGCGATGTGCAAGGCATCAGGCGGGTTCGCTCTGAGGCGGTCCATGAGCAGCTCTTGTTGGTTCTCTTGCGTGAGATCCAGGCGCACCGTTGGCATGAGAGCGGCGCGCGGGCGGTGATCAACCGCAAGCGTTGCGAAGCCAGCTGCGAAGAAAGCCCGAGACAAGATGGCGGTGCCGCTGAAGACCTCCACTGCAAAAGGCTGGCGGCTCGGCTTGTGGATAGAATTCTGACACGCGGCGAAGCCTAAGCTGGACGCGAAGGCAGCATCAGCGGTCGACAATTTGTCGATGAAATTTGTGGTGTATGCAACTAACACTACACGGCGGCCAGACCATGGTAAGGTTGCATGCAAAGCCGAACGGGCTGAGAAGACAGCAGGGCCAGGGAGCGTTGGCAAAGCATCACCAAGCAGCCTCTTGCCATTCACTTCCAGGGGCGTGAGGCCCTGATCATTCTGGACCCAGACTTCGCCACCTGAGTAATCGGACAGCCCGAAAACAGCATTTCGAGCTGACTCCATGTTGTGAGTGTCACGATGCGCGACTGTGCAAACGCTGTCAAGGATGACCACTGCTGAGAAAGAGTGGCCAGGGCACTCCTCCAAGATAAATCGAGTGAAAACTCTAGTGCTCAAAGGGAAAATTCGGCAATTGTTACGCAGACCCACAAGGTTCCCATGCACCCAAGTACCGGTTCCGAAGGAAAAACCTCCGGCTTCTGCACGTCCGGCAGTTGGCGCATCCTCGTGAGGAAGAAGGTCAAAAAGCTTCAGCAAGTCTACACGGCTAGCCGAAGGGAGTTCCAAAAGTGAAGTTGCAAACATTTCGGCTGGGTGCACGGCAGAGCCCCTCGGCTCTGCAAGCACATTTGCCTGGCACTGCGACGACTGGGGATCCACAGGGTGCGTCGCGGTCCCTGCGGGGATTCACTGAGTGCTCCGAGCCTTAGTGCACTCGTGCCCGGGGTGGGCACCACCACAGCCTTTCCACCAGCACAGGTGAAAGCCTCGCCCGCACCTGCCTTTCTTCGATACCTTGAACTTGCAGGATCCGCAGTTGAAGGCGAAACAGACGGGTTTATCATTCACCTTGGTGACGGCCCCGTCAGGCACTGTGATCGAGCCAGAGGACCCACGATCCTTGCCTTTCTTTCCCTTGCCTTTGCCTCGACCTTTGGGCGAGTCACCCTTTTCGGAGCGCTTCAGGGGATTCGGAGGCGAGCTCTGCGCAGGCAGGTGGTTGAGAAACTGCAACACGTCACTGTGATCACTAAGAAGCTTAAGCTGTTCATCCACCGGCTTGACACGGCCCGGGGCACCGGCCAGAGCTCCCAGCAGATTGGAAGCGGCCAGAGTGAACAAGTGACGATCAGCCGCCACAATCTGAGTCAAGGCCACTCCGTGGTAACCAGGAGGGGCAGGCCTTTCGAGCGTCACGAAAAGCTTGTGCACCCAAGCCTCCATTGCTTGGTAAGTGGCAAGGCCTGCAAGATCAAAAGCGAGGCTCCTACGGGCCCAAGCCTGGCGAAGGGTCCACTCGGAACCTGTGTCACAGTTCTCGAACTTCTCAAGCTTTGAAGTGACCTTAAGGTTCCCGTCCGAATCAATCGACAAAGCCTTGTCCGCCTTGGCTGACTGGATTTCTTGTGCCCTCGAGAGGTACTTGCCCGGGGGCAGGTAGACAAGCGTTCCGGTTTCAAGCATTTCCACAAG